GCCGGAGTTAAACCACGACATGGAGATAGTTGTTTAAAGTTATACCATTGAATTACTGAAAACGAGCCTGAGGAAGCTCATTCAAATGGGATGTCCATGTGGGTTCTTTAATTGCTTTTGTATATTTTAGGTTGAGATTGACTTTCTTGTTCCAAAGCATTTTGAGATCTCCTAAAGGGAAACCTTTACTTGGTTTTGTGTTTTGTTTTTTTGTTTGTTTGAGACTTGGTATTAGCTCCAGACTCTTAAGTTTAAAACAAACAAAAACCAAACATACTTCATGAGAGGGAATGATCTGTGATCGATTCTTTGCACTCAGAGTGCTCTACTCTTTGCTTGTGCTCTGGTCTCCAGAAATTTAGCTGATGACCAGAGATATGTAATAGTCTGTTAGCTTCAGCAGCCTTAAGTTGTGGCAAGTTGTCACGGCCTGGGGAAATAGCATGAACTACAAGGATGGAATTGTTTAGCTCTGTAAGCTACTACTTCTGTGAGGAGCTAAATTACATTGTCTTTGTGTGATAATCCTTTCTTGCTGAGGATACACACACATGCAGGGACAAGATAGGTCTTTTTCCTTTTTTACAGTTGTTCTGTCACCACCAGTGCTTGCTGTTAAGTGTATAAAAAAACCCCAGGGTATGTCTGGTACATTTTACTTCCTTTCAGTTGCATGGCCTCTGCTGTTTGAGCCCTTTCACCTGTGTAGCTTCTGCTCTACTGCAGAGCTGCTTCTCTGCTCTTGTCCATGCTTCTGTATCAGTTAATTGGCTCTCTTTTACTTCTGTGTGGTATCCCTGCAGATCACCTTTCCTCATCCTATATACGGAAGTCCTGCTTAAATTTTTTTGCGTCTCCCGTATTTATGACACAGGCATTGAGATGCTCTAGTGCAGTGTGACACTTTCTGATCCAGTGTCACACCTAATTCCCTCTACCCGGCTGCTGTCTCAGATAGTTTCCCATTTCTCTGCGAGAGAAGGTGAACACTGTAATACTGGGATAGGCGTGTGCAGTTTTGATAACCTGCTAAAGCACAGAAACTGCGCCGGTACAACATGCTGGCTTTGGGGAGAAGGAAACGGGACCAGCGCACTACGGAAGTCTTGATGGATCACACAGATCCTGCAGTGCAGGGGTAGTATGGAACTTTCATCATTTTCCTGCTGGTTTATGTTGCCACCTTGTAGAAATATGATTGTGGACTTGTTGCAAAAATCCATTAGTAGCAAAACCATTGCTGTGTATTTACGCTGTTATATCCTTTATACGTAGAACAAATCCACGTCTGAGATTTCAGAGTCTGAACCAAAGAAATTTGATAGTGCTGGATATGATAAAGATTTAGTAGAAGCTTTGGAAAGAGATATAATTTCTCAGAATCCCAACATTCGATGGTAAGTTTGAATACTCCTGCCAGTCTTTGAGTTGTTTCTTCTTCCTCATATACAGTGTGATTAGAATTAAGTGTTTTAGCATATGCTTACATGCAGGTTTTATTTACTCATTAAATGGGCAACTAAATTTATTGTCCAGTTTATTTTTAGAACTTTTTTTTCCACCCATAGGATCGCAAGGTGGCTTGGATTGGTAGGAATCTTTAAAGATCAGCTAGTCCAAGCCATGCCACGGGCAGGGACATCTTTCCCTATTTCCCAAAGCCCTGTCCAACCTGACCGTACAAAGCTTCTCAAACTCTTCCGAGAGTCCTGCAATCAGTTTTGAGATACTCCTTTGCAATGTGTAAGATTCTAGTGTCTCTTCATTTAAAAACCTGTTTTGCTACCCCTCTGGGTACCAAGGTGGAAAAACAGTTAACAAAGGAATTATGTCAATACAGGAACCTTTTGAAATCTTGCTGGATGTGATGTGACCGCCAGTATAAAATGTAACCACGTGTCAGTACCTTCACATAAATGTGTTAAATATTAAACCTTACACAAAGGTAGTTTTGTGTTCCAAATGTTTCCAAGCTTAGGTGATTTTGTGAGGATTAAATGTGCAAAAATCGTCTGGCCAATAAGTAGGCTTTAAAAAAACCCTGAACAATCCCTCGGGCAACTCTGCATGCATGCAACTGTCACGTATTTCAGTTTAATTTGTAAAAATATATTTTTATATTGAATCTTAAATTACAACTTCAGATTTGAAACTAATTCTCTATATAGATATGTTTTGAATCCAAAATATTACTTGGGCTCATGCTGTTAAGTGGAATCTCCTGAGAGTTACCCTCAAGAAAATAAGACCAGCCTATAAGGTATCTGAGAATTAATACACCTGCAGTTCTGAAAGAGAGTTCTCACAGTCCGTTTACTAGCTCTGTTTACTAGCCTTCAGTAAATAGTTCTTGTAACAATGAACGATGGTATTGAAGTTTCAGGGACAGCCAACCTCTTGGCAAAAGAGGAAAGCAGCATCTGTAACTACCTAAGTTTAACCAACTTGCCTCATTCTGCATATTCTTTCTGTGAGTAAGAACAGTGGTGCTCTAGTGAAATAGTTCATGTCTCTCTTGCATCCAGCCAGAGTCTACTGACTGGATGTCAACTGTAATTAGAATCATAGACTGGTTTGGGTTGGAAGGGACCTTAAAGACCATCCAGTTCCAACCCCCCTGCCATGGGCAGGGACACCTTCCACTAGACCAGGTTGCTCAAAGCCTCTTCCAGCCTTGAAGACCTCCAGGGATGGGGCATCCACAGCTTCTCTGGGCAACCTGTTCCAGTGCCTCACCACCCTCTCTGTGAAGATCTTCTTCCTGATATCTAATCTAAACCTCCCCACTTTCAATTTAAACCCATTACCCCTTGTCCTGTCACTACAGGCCCTTGTAAAAAGTCCCCCCCAGCTTCCTTGTAGCCCCTTCAGTTATTGGAAGGCTGCAATAAGGTCTCCCCGGAGCCTTCTCTTTTTCAGTTGTTGTAGGCTTTTGCCACTATAATGTAAACAAATACAGCTAATTTCTCTGAATTATGGAAGAGCCATTGCATAACAATGAGTTTAATTGCATATTGTTTTGACCTGTGGAGTGATTATTTTGCAGTTGGTCTGAATCTGTCAAACAACTTTCCCTTTTTATTTTGTCAGGGATGACATTGCTGATTTAGTAGAAGCCAAAAAGCTGCTTAAGGAGGCTGTAGTTTTACCGATGTGGATGCCGGAGTTTTTTAAAGGAATTAGAAGACCATGGAAGGTATGAAAAAATCTGATCCTGTGACCATAAGTAAGATTCTGAGATTGGATCTTGGCGGAACAAGAAAATTTACAGGTGTTTTACAGTTTATATAAATTCTTTCCACTTTTCAGTAACAAAATTTATGGTAAATAGTACTAACAAAGTAAAGATGTCAGCCAGATCAATACACTGTCTGCAGCTATATTGTTGTAAGCAAGCAATACTAATTAATTCCTTACCTTTGAATAACTTTTCAAGGGAAGGTTTACCCCTAGTATTTTAATATTACGCTATTAAACAAACTGAAATTGTGTCTGTTTTGATTCTTGTCCTAAAAGTGGTTCTTTTTAATTAGGGTGTACTGATGGTTGGTCCTCCTGGTACTGGCAAGACCCTCCTGGCAAAAGCTGTAGCCACTGAATGCAAGACTACTTTTTTCAATGTTTCTTCTTCCACACTTACCTCAAAATACAGAGGAGAATCTGAGAAACTTGTTCGTCTGCTGTTCGAAATGGTGATTGAAGTTTCTGAACATAAATAGTGAGATAATGAAGTGGAATTACTCCTGGAATAGTGAAACCTTGCCAAGATGTAGAACTCGTAGCATATGTAAACAGCTCTCCCAGCTTCAAACACTTTAGGACCTTCTGATCTGGCTTTGTACATTCAAGATCTGGTTATTCCTAAATAGCTTTATAAAAAAACAAAAAATGGGGCGGTCTTTATTTTCAGGGTTAGCTTCTCGCATTAGAGTTAGCTTACGGTAAGCTCAGTCTAAGCTGGTGAGTGCTTTAGGTCATACCTGAATGTAGCACTGGAGATAGGTTAGTAGAATCCAGCTGCTTTCTGGGTGAGAACCCTACTTAGGCTGTGCCTGTGTTGTTGTTGTTGTGGGTGGTTTTTTCTTTCTTTGTGCTTAAAATAAGTGCTTTTACAAACTGTAGTTTTGGCTCCAGAGCACACAACACTTGAAATGGTAGCTAGCTTAACGTGTAGCCCTCCTTTTGCATGTTGCCAGGCTGGCGTGTGCAGTGTTTGCTGGGGTGCCCGGTGCTGAAGGGGGCAGCAGAGTTGCAGTTACAGTAAGAAAAAAGTCAGGAAATATTTCTTTACAACAGAGTTTAATCCTGCTAAATTAATTTCATTTACCTGTCAATCAAAAATGCATGTAGACAATGGACAGCATGTCAACTGCTGTAGGATGGCAGTTTCTTTTGTGGCAGATCCTTGTCTTTGACCTCTCATTTTCAGAAAGGTTAGAGTTGTTTGGCAGTTGACCTGTCTCCTGGACAGGTTCCATCTCAAGATGTCCTAGCCTCACGGTCATCCTAGCTTCAACTGACTTCTTGTTCAGACGTTCTGTGATCACCTTCACAGACATAAATGTTTGTTTCTGATGTGTAAAACTTTTTAGCTTAGTAAACATTTGTTCATAGCCCTAACAATTTCAGGACTTATTAACGAATGCGCGGCTGCTCTGTAGTTGTGTGCAATGCTCAAAGAGAGGGAAAGCTAGGTGGTGTTTGATACTTATGACTTGAGTCACTGGGATAAACCTGTCATTACTTGGCTCTCAACGTGCTGCTATTTCTTAAATGTGAGTGGACTGCCACTTCAGTTTCTGCTTTATCTTTTGCTTTCTTTAGGCTCGATTTTATGCCCCGACAACTATATTTATTGATGAGATAGACTCTATCTGTAGTCGCAGGGGAACTTCAGAGGAGCATGAAGCTAGCCGACGTGTGAAGGCGGAACTCCTGGTTCAAATGGATGGTAAATATCCTTATCACTGGGAAGTGCTGGACTGGAGGAAACTTGAGGGAGGGGAAAAAAAACCCCACCCACCAAAATTCAAAACTTCATTCTTCAGAAGCAATTTGTTTGAAAGTCTTAGATAAAAATGGGGTAAAAAGATAAAAATGCACTCTTCCAACTGTCAGTGTGGAAGGAAAAAAGACGGCAGTTATTTAACAACCTTTTAGCATCTGAGCAATGACCCAGAATAACGAAGATTCAGTGGAAAGTACAAGATTTCAAAACAGCAGAAGAAAAAAGTATTGATTGCACCTCTCAGGTTTTTAGCATATCACTGACTTCTCCAAAACCAAGTAGAAGATGGTTCAAAAGAACTGTCACCTGTTCCAGTTTGAACTTCAAAGACACTCGTTGCACTTAACTTCTTTGGGATCTCTTTTTTTCCCTCCTGAAGATACAAATAAAAACTGAAGGCAACTTTTTATAGAAGTGGTTGGGAGAGTTTTCTTTTAAAATACTTGAGTTTATTACCGCTATTTGGTTAGTATTTCACAAATCAACAAAGTTGAAAAGTAGGAAATGCTGGGCAAAGGTGCTAAAGAGGCATCCTTTTTATACTCTGGTGAGCAAGGAGGAGGAAAGGAGCAACTAAAAACTGCTAATCTTTCATGAGTCAAATTTGAACATTCCTTTCCGATTCTCTGATGTCGATACCCTTTTATGTTTGACTTTAAATAGCAGCAGAGCTGTAATGCTGTTCTCAAAACTCAAGTGTGTACATAAGCTGATTTTATTAGTAACAACTGTTTGAAGTCCTTTTACTTGAGCGTTCATAAATGGTGCTTTATATGCAAATTTTCAGGCAGCCTAGGTACAACGGCTATTCCCCAGCCCAGTCATATGGCTATAAGCAAAAACAGTAAATGCAGAGGGTAGCAAGTTTAAGGAAATGAAATTCTTCATACAGCAGCAGTTTAGAGACTGAGGTGTGCTCTCTGCCTCGGAGAAGCTGTGGTTCGGTCCACCAAACTCACACATTCCTCCAGCGGTTTGTAAGAATCCGGCTCTGTGTGTGAAGTGCTTGGCCTGGATTCAGACATGAAGAAGCTTTGCAGGGGAGTGATGCTGCTTTTGCGTGGCTGTTCGTGAACACTGCTGGAGAGCGTGGCTGTGTTTTGGTGCGGGGCTGGTTTTGTTTTTCCCCACACGCTCTTACAGGACGTTGATGTGAAAATTTAAACACTAACGGCAGAAATACAAACAACTCTGCTGTAAAAGCGTTCCAGCCATGATACAGAAGAACTTCCTGATCTGATTAAATCTCCTAATTAAACTGAGTCTACTTTTTTTTTTCTTGTAGGCTGTCATATAGATGAAAAACTGGCCTCTGTTGCACTTGGTGATTCTATTGCACTTGGGCTCACTGAAGCGCAATAGTGCGGCTGCTTTAATATTATAGAATTGTGGATGTTGTTCTCTCTAAACATGGAAACTTCACAAAACACGCGTGCGTTTTACTTCCTCTATTCTCCAATGCAGGTGTTGGAGGGGCTACTGAAAATGATGATCCTTCCAAGATGGTCATGGTACTTGCTGCTACTAATTTTCCTTGGGATATTGATGAAGCCCTGAGACGGAGACTAGAAAAGAGAATTTACATTCCTTTACCATCAGGTATGAAGACTTGGGGAGAGGAGTGGTTGAAAAGACTGAAATTTAAACTTTGTTAATATTCCTTTAGTTTTGATCACCTAGTTTAAAAATCTAATGGATACGTGTATGCAAATTCACTTATGAATTCAGGACCGGCTTAAATCTAAACACGTTGTAGCGAGTACAGTGCCTTTTTCCTCATTCTTCCCTCTTACCCTTCCTAAGCTCATAATTTATCTGCAGAAAGCAGGTTGTATAGACTCAATTTTCTATTCTTTGATTAGCAAAGGGTAGAGAGGAGCTCCTAAGGATAAATCTGCGAGAGCTGGAACTGGCTGATGATGTTGACCTTGCAAACATAGCTGAGAAGATGGAGGGCTATTCAGGTGCAGACATCACCAACGTATGCAGGTATGCTGACGTTGCATCCTTGGTGTTACCAGTGCTACAGCCTCTGAGAAAACCGTTTGTAAAGTAGCGAATTCACGTGGCTAAGGTTGTTGGATAAAAACAGACTGTAACTTGGCTTTTGTGTACGGCTAAAAGGTGAAATACTGCATTAATGGTTACCTAGATTTCCATTTGATATTTTCACCTAATAGTGGTTGCAACATAGTAATCTAAACAAGCGGCGATTGAGGTAAATCTCCATGTTCTTTCACGTGCACCAAATTCCTTCCATGAGGATTGTCCAGACTTTTATAACTTGTAGAGTTGCAGTCATCCCACTGAGGTTCTGCTGCTTCAGCAGAACACCCCAGGGTAAGAGGTGATAGAGGCCAGGATAACCGTGGCAAAAACACGTCGTGTTCTTCCTTCGGGATGCAGAAAAGGCGTGACGTACCTTGTGACCGTACGGGAGCTGCGTACTCGACACGCTGGCCGTAGCCATGAGGCTGACTTACCTTTTCACTACCTTCTCCATCTCCCCTTCTCGGTTTGGT